TATCGACTTGATGCCCTTTACTCTGGCGGCAACTGGCCATCAACCCATATAACTCTCTATATCCATAGCTTGTTGCGCGGGATCCGGTCATAGGCCTTTTCCGGGCGGACAAACCACTTGTAAAGCGGATGAGTGAACTTCCACGATTTCTCAACAATCTGTCGTAATGCAAAGATCTGGTCGGAGATACTTCGGCTTCACCTGAAGCCACGCTGCTACTCTTGGATCTTAGGGTCAGTTACTCCGCGGTCTTTCTAACACATTTTCGTGTAAACTTTTCCGGGGAGGCTCAGTAAGGTAATACCCCAGTAATTTGAGCACTCCCTATAGTCTCCCTTTTTAAACGGGTACTACAACGCCCGTTGTCCAGTCTATATTCTCCGTAACCACTGCAGTTTGCACACTTCCTAACCATTACATGTCTTGTTCGCCTATAGCTTTACGTAAATCACGACCGATTTCATCGATTCCAGCAGCCTTGCGACTTTTCAAGCTTTCTACAGCTGCTTTCTGAAATTTCGATTCCAGCATCTAGCCTCTCTTTTTAAATTAATCAACGTTTGCTTTAGCCACTGCTTTAGTAGCCGTCATCCCCGCTTCCTCGTACTTCGTTCGAGTTGAAGGCTTACAAGCGTCCTCTTAAATGCAGCCTTCTTGACAGCCAGTAAAACCTAAGTGTCCACCAGGATAATCGTTTCTGATCCCCAGGCAATTTCGAACGTTTGTTAAACCACAGCACCCGCCAGCAGCCTCGATTGAGCCACCTTAAACAGCTTCTATTCCTTTCCTTCGTCAGCCGTCATCAGTGGGATCTCTTCAAGCCGTTGTGCGATATTGTTTGCAAGCTTCACTCTCGTATCCGCACAAGATAATATTTCCCGTCTGATTCTCTGGCTGTCTTTGCTACCAGGTTCTCGCATGGTACTTCATCGTTTATAGCGAAGGGTGCCAACAACGGGGTGATGATCACCTATCTTAACTTGAGAGTCTGTTACAGAACGTCGTAAGTCATGCGATGCGATTATCAAATCAGTCATCAACTTTTGTGCTCAAGCTTCACTATACCAGGTATATTTATTCACGTTTCGATGCTAGAAAAATTGCTATACCAGTCAGTTCGCCGTTTCCACGAAAACGCAACAATTTCATGCATAAACATAAAGTGTTTTTTGCATGCCCGAGTATATCAGATAAGGAATGACTCCTCCAAAACCATAATTCGTGACCGTATTGCGCCTCACTCGGTTTTCCCTGTTACGTCTTTCCTCTTTTCAGTGTCTTCATTGAGGTTACTCATCAGAGTGGTGGATTCCGTAGCCGGCATTTGGTACTGAGAACCTTCGTTTCATCCAGGAAGGAAGCATTTTCTCAATCTGAATTAGGCTCATCGTTCCGTAACAAGGTCAAAGGCTTTCGCCTGTTGCAACTTCAGTCAAAGGATTGTCGCTTCTTCGCTGACAGTCTGCCATTTAACGATTCTGTTAGCATGCTTGGGTTTTACCAGAACACGAACGTCAGCTTGCACGCTGGTTGTAGGGTCTACGCCTGAGTAGAATAGCCTCTACCCACAGAGGTTCAGAATTCCAGAGTTGCGGCGCTTCGTTGACGAGAGTCCAACTATGTCCACTGGGCAGCTAGCGGCCCCATCAGCTAGCTTCTGCTAACTGCTAACATTAACTAGCTTCTGCATCAACAACGCTCCTGCTTTAAGTGAAGAGACGTTCCAGTTTTGGACTGTGAGCTCCCACCGTCAGTGTCGTTCCCGTGGAACCTAACGTGACTTGCTGTAATAGCATCGCGTTCTTTGCTTCCTCCATTCAAAGCGAGTTACGGCCCCGTTGCTGACTGGTCTTGATTGTCGTCTTGTCAGTCTTCCGCAACCGTAGCCCCAGCTGCCAGAATGCCTGAAGCAGGTCCTGACCTCCACTTTTCGGTCAGCTTCAGTTGACCAACAGCTACAGCGCAGCCCTTGGTTACCCGCTCAGTGACCGAGCTAGTGTAACCTGCGATAATTTAGTTTTACGGAAGACTTTGCCACGGTTCCCAATTCTCATCCGTTGCTCTGGACTGACAACAGCAAAGTTCTAATCCAATATCCTGCGGTCAAATCCAGATATTTCTCTGCTGTTTCAGAGTCTGGTATAAAATGTAATATGTCGTTGTCTATGTATTGTTTCTGCGCATAAACGTCATTTTCACTTTGGCAAATTTCTCCCAGACTTGGCCTAGTGCTAGTGGCTAGGATCCTGTGACCTTGTTGCAGAAAATGGCTATTTGATTTCTTTTTTAAGAATCCTAAGAAAATTAGACAAGCAAAAATAGCTGAATGCTTCTTAAGTAGTGTTGGTTATTTTAGAGAGGTTAGCAGTAATCAGTGCTTTCATAATCCAGTGGATGACAACATAAAATGAGTCGAAGGAGTTTAATAACTGATGGACAGGCCAACGTCGATTTGGTTGCTTGCTACGGCTGTCTCCATGACTTGCCTAGTGGCTCCAGTGACGTTGCATATTGGTGGCCTCCGCCCCACGTTGTCCAGCACCGGCGACAGCCACTTCTCTCTCAATCATTGCAATCTGTGCACCATTGCTTCTTAGAATCCTGAGATCTTTTCTATGTTAGATCTTACTGTCTAGCCAGGTGTTGATTTGATCGCCGTCGACGCTGCCCAAAGCTAGGAGCGAACGACATGCTGTGTTTCAGATGCAGTTTCTTCCGAGGGTCGTCGAAGGGCATGTCCAAGCTAACGCTGTCAGCGCTCTTGGACACCTTTTCGATGGAACGTAGTGGGATACTGAGGCACCAATGATAACATATTTCTAACTCCGTGATGTTTTCCACGCTGAGTGGTTAACGTTCACAAGCATACAATAAAACCGATCTTCCAGTGGCTTGCAGGATGCGCACTTTTGTTCTGAGGCTGATACGCCGATGCCTCAAGGGAGGCTTACCTGGTTGAAAAAAATACTCATCTCGCTGCTCAAACACTGTAATTTCGTCGTTCGGTTGGCCAGTGAGTAACATGATGGAGCCGCGATAATTGAAGGCGTTAACTCCTCGATGGTGATTGGGCTACTTCTCTCCCTCTCATGTGCCTGAATGAACAGAGTTGTTATGTAGTCTAATAGAGCATGCCACCTCATTTACACGATAAAAGATTCTTTGCATTGGTACCTGATTCAGTGTTAAGAAAAGAAAGAAGAAAGTTTGTCACCTTTGAAATGTCGGTTTTCCTTCACTTTCATGACTGAGCCATTTTGGCGCCCTTCAATTCATGAAGTTGATGGTGCACTGCCGATCTCCGCTTCTATGCCATCAGCAAAGAGCGCCTTATTTTAAGGGCATTGTCTACATCCATATAGCAGGCGTGGCATGCAGAGTTCTGTTTTCCCCACAGAGTGTCACTCATCTGTCAGCCTCTGTAGGAAGAAGCGCTAGCGACCTTGACCGGGACTTGAACACGGGACCTATCGGTTCTAAGTTCAACGCTCTGCCGACCGAGCAAGCCCGATCTGAAGCAATGTGTGGTGAATTCCTTGCTTAAGGAAATTCGTGAATAAGACAAAGAAAGATTGCCCTCGAACGAAATTGAAGCCGGTACCTCCAGAGTTCGAAGCAGACCTGTTAGACACTGTACCACCGTGTCATTCAGTGTTGAAAGGGTGATGTCGTATACGTATTTGACTTCAGTGATACGAAGAACTGAGCTATCATCCGTGCGAAGAATCCAATCAGTGGCAAAACTGAAAAAGACTGGGGAGAGAACACAGCAGAACAGAGCCTTACCTACGTCTTGAACATATATTAAAGTCTCGTCTCCTCTCCGTAAGAAGAAATTTTCACTCGCTCTGAATCTCAGCGGTACCGTACTTCATTTGTGATTATCATCAGCGGAGGCAGAAAAACAGCAGTAGAGAATGCTGTCCAATTTAAAATCAATTGATGGTAGCAATGTCGTAAATG